GAGCAAGCGTGGTGAATAATGCTCGAACCTTCTCCGTGTGAGAAGAGGCTTTGCTCAGCAGTGGGCATTTATAGGCTGTTGATGATGAAGAAGACGACGCGCCCGTCCCTTTCGACGGGATCTGGCGCTACGTGAGGTACGTCATCGCGCCCATGTGGCCTACGTGACCTGCCGTAAGTACGCACGACGTGTTTAAGTGCGACGGTAGCAACAGGGTACCCAACATGAGCACTCGACATGTCAGATACTTTAACTAATGCTGTAAGCTTTTATTTATAACATACTAGCTTCTGTTTCTAACTTATTTGTTATTCCAGACTATATTCGACCACTGTTCCAAATATCATCCCGATCCGTTCAACCCTTAATGCGTGAACCAGTAACAAACACACACACACGTACATCCTCACAAACTTCCGCATCTTATATATTACTCATTACTAATATTTATTAGAAAATTCTACTAAAAAAATTAGATACTGTTTTATAATTAGGAATTATAGAATGTTGATTTTTTTTTATTATTTCTTGAATATTGGCTGCGCATGTCTATACCCGCAAGGCCGCAACCAATCGGCCGCGTATGTCTATGTACTTACCTACGAGCGAGTGTGTGCAGCAGGCTATAGTATCGTCATCGTTAGTAATCGTCTCCGGAGTCGAACACAAAGTTGGATTTTGATTTTGTTTATGATTATGGCATAAGTATTGGTAGTATAGGTATACCTATGTAGTTGACTATTAATTAAAGAAATCTTTACATCTTTTCTTTTTTAGAAGAACAAGAACGCTCCCGAAAAATGCCTACAGCAGGTGATAGTAAAAATAAAGTTTTATTTACATAAAAGTAAATATTTAAATGTGTCTTTAATGTAGTAATTGAGATGATGACAGGGTATGAAAATTAAAAATATAATAAGTCCGTAAGTTAGGTAATGAAAAAATATTAGACACGTATTTTTTTATTTTTTCATATAATAAAACAATACTTAGATAAGAGATAAGTCAATAATAATTCTATAGACTAAAAACAGTACACAGTTAGAGATGAATTACAGACAGATCTTAAAATTATTTATCCTGCGAGAGCGATCTAGAAACGAATGCGGAGCGAAAACAACAAACTCATTGAAGTGTCCTACGTGACAATACGCACGCGGGACGCGGTGCGGAGCGGCGCGACATGACGCGGACGAGAGCTTTTTAGCAAACATTTTACATGAACATAATTTAATTGGTTATCACTTAAAAATTCTAAGATAATAAGTTATATTTTTTAACAATGCGACAAAGTCTCTTCGGAGGCGTGGGAAACAAAATATTTCTAAGGAAAGCGGCTAATCTACTTCGTTCAAAAGAACAGACCTATTGTTGTATAGTCCTTAACTGATAATTTGAAAAGTATTGGAAATATTGGAACAAAAGAAATGCTCAGGGCTCTGGACTATATAAGGGAGGATTTTCAAGAACGTGCACACTTACAGTTTAGACTGCATACAGTGACTACATATAGCGACGTGAAAATATTAGTGAAAGTTAATCGTGAATCATGGATTCTGTTAACATTTTCAATATATCAACAAGTCAAGAAGAGAAACCAGGAACCGAAGTTGTTCACACTTCGTTCCGATCGATTGAGGAGTTCCATATTCTCAATAGAGTCGATGAAGGCACATATGGAGTCGTTTACAAAGCTGTCAACAAGAAAACAGGGGACGATGTCGCCCTAAAACATTTTAAAAGAATTAATGAGAGGACAGGATTCTCCATCGCCGCGCAGAGAGAACTCGACCTATTGATGGAGATGGGCCATGTCAACATTGTCACAGGGCACGAGATTGTGGTGGGCTCCAGAAACGAAGAGGTGTTCCTAGTGATGGAGTACGTGCCTCACGGAGTCTACAATTTAATGGTGACAATGCGTAACAACAGACTAATGTTTGGCGTCGAGCACGTCAAGTGTTTAATGTTACAACTTCTAAGCGCCGTGCAATATCTACACGACAGATGTATATTACACAGAGATCTCAAAACAAACAACATTCTACTAACAGAAGATGGTGTTCTGAAGGTGGTAGATTTTGGGATGGCCCGAGAATGTGAATCCCCTCACCAGCAATATTCGCCGGGCGTGGTAACACGTTGGTACCGTGCACCTGAACTGCTGCTACATAGCAAGACATACTCTACTCCAATAGACATGTGGAGTGTTGGATGTATATTTGCTGAGTTGGTTAATATGCAGCCACTGTTTCCCGGGACATCTGATTTGAATCAATTGAAGATGATATTCCAGCAGTTGGGTACGCCTTCCGAAAATGTGTGCCCCGGCTACAGCGCATTGCCACTGACAAGCGAAGTTATATTTGATCAACATCCACCAGGCGGATTGCGCAATGAGATAAAGCGGAGTCTACTCTCGGATAGTGGTTTATCTTTATTGGAACAATTTTTGATGTATGATCCGTCAAGACGCATGACAGCAACCGAAGCGTTGCAGCATCCTTACTTTGATGAGCAGCCTGTGGCGATTGAACCAGCCATGTTCCTGTCGTCGCTAGAGTTGGAATACGTCGACCTGTACTACGACTACGACATGGACGACAACGTGCATTCGTCCGGGTTTGAGACAGAAGAATGTAACTCCTCCTACTCAGGATATCCCGTTGGTAGCTCAGAGTACAATGATGACGCGACGTAATAATGACTTAAATGTTAAGGTCTCATCATTCGAAAAATATTGCAAATATTGGCAATATTGGCAGCACGACCACCTCTGGGGACAAGGGTCATACCATCGGTGCCCCAAACCGGTGACGGTTTCGGTCTCCTGTGAGACCTGGTTGCCCCGACGGAACCACCGGACGCTACGTGAATCTTCCACCCGCCCGCTCACGGACGGGAGCCTGCTGCTCGCGCCGACTGAGCACAGCCCTTAGCGGCGCAATCCATCACACTCGGCACCATATCGGACCTCGCAAGAGGCCTGACTACTCCAACACTGCAGCGATTATATACCGCCAGAACAGGCATCAGCCTGGATCCTGCATCCTCACTCCTGACCCAGTCAGGAATGGTGAGACAACTCGGGCGGGGACGTGCACACTTACAGTTTGGACTGCGGACAGTGACTACACATTGTGAAGTGAAGTGATTAGTGAACGTTTACCGTTAATCGTGAATTCTGTGAATATTTTCAATGTTTTTATCACTATATTCCCTATGGTTGACTATCAGAGAATGCCTTAAGGCTTATGTCCGCCATTCACTGTTATCTTTTGTGCAGAAGAAATAAATAAATATATTGTAAGTTTATAAATTTAAAATATACTGTGTAGTTATGTCTGTGTATAATAGTATTTATGTAAGATTCCAATAGTAGGTAATTCAATACTTTCGTTCTAATCTAGACAATCTAGTTTCCTTATGGCATCTAGCATCTCTTTCTTTATTGAACCAAAGAGTTTCCTTTTTCTTGTACAGAAGCACTATTTTTATGGATTGTCAGTATGCATATGTGAGCACCATGTTAGACTAAGATTTTTTTTGTTTTGTTTTTTTTTTATTTTAGCAAGTTTTGTAATTTGTATAATGCGTCAAGCGTGTCTTTGCATTGTTCTCACATATGCGTACAGTATTAGAATATGTATCAGAGACATTGTAGAACATACTTTTTTTAAAAGAGTAACGAATGGAGTTCCTTGCTCGTTCTTCTCCATTCGAATCTACATTTTGGAATGAGCACCTAGCTTCACCTAGCTTCACTGACGGACTGACTGACAGACTATTATTTATTTAGTATTTGTTGAAGTTTCAATAGTACTACCAAATTATGGTTTGGAAATACCGGATAATAATATTGCTACTGTAAATATATATTATTTCTTATATTATATTGTTTGAAATAAATGCTATAACTTATTAACAGTGTAATTTAATGACGTAAGCTGTAATATTGTATTTCTAATATTTCTGAGTAAACAAATAAATATGCTGCTGTGTATAATATGTTTATAATGATTTATAATGTAATACCAAGTGTAATTAAGTGAATTTATGTAATTTAGAAAACAAAGATATTAGTTTGATATTGATTTGATATAACTCAGTTTGTTGCAAATTATTGTAAAGATATAAATTTGTAAATGATAAATTAGTATAAAATAAATATTTGCTTTAATAATTTCAATTATGTTTTTAATTGTTCCTTTTCACAAATTCTAAGAACACAGTAAGTAGGATCTTGCAAAAGTTTTGACAAAAGTCAATTTATAGGAAATACACCAAAATTATGCACACGAGAGATTACAGAACTTGAGATCGGAATAATAAAACAACTTAATTATAGAGCACATTCTCAATAACAACACACACTTTAATATTTACAAATAACCTACAATTTTTATTAATTAATGATCACAGCTTAAAATCATTATCTTGGCTTAAAACTAGAAAGTAATTAAATGTACATCGTCAAAACATCACCTAATTGTAACTCGGAAAAAGTAAAAAGGGCATAATCTGTTGACATTACTTAAACTTAAGGTAGTGTTCGATTCAAAATCTAGATGGCGCTTAATGAAAGAAAGTTAATTGAAACGTTACCTATCTTATAATGGACATGTAATGAGAATTGGTGATAATCATGTGACAAACCGAACATTTTCCATAATATTTCCATTTCATAAAATTTTCAACCTTACCATTTTATAATGAAGTCGAAATTCAGTTAAAGAAAGGACTTCTAATATGAAATGTGCGTTTGGTGGTATATTCAGAATTGAACGTACTGTGGCTGATATTATGATGAATTCTACAGTTTGGGATGCTGGGACACATTGGCTACACGAAACCAGTTTATCGTGATCTCGCTTTGTATGATCTCTCCGCACATTCGACGGGCAGCTTATACTGGTAAGGCAGAACTTGATCTGTTTAATACCGATTTACAGGAACTGGTTGAGTCTACCCATTGTGTTCGTAATAGATAAACAAAGAAATTATGAATTCGTAGCTTCAGTAGTAGACGAGGCATTACAAAATAGAGCTTCGATCAAATTCTTTTTCAAAGAATCTTCTTCGTCACTATAACTCGAAGCCTCTACGATTCTCTTTAAACATGTATTTGTAATTTTACTAACAACTTTTACAGGCTTAGGCTCCGACTGTCTAAAATACTCGTCGAAAGGGTAGTAATAATCTTGTAATTTTTTAAAATCAATAGTTTGCTTAGGGTGGCGCTGTTGTCGTTTTTCGTCAGTTCTTTGATGGACTTCGTTTTCTTCTGTATCAAAATAGTCTTTTTGTTCGTGGAAGTAAGGGAATGGTGTATTTACATACAGAGGTGTGATTGTTACAGATTGATCTTTAGTTGGTCTGCGATGTAGATTCAATGTGTAATATTTTGTAGTTCTCTCACGGGTTGGTTTCAAGTGATTTTTCGAAGATACTATTTTGTAACGTCTCTGTGTTTTTGTAATACTTCTAAACTTTAAGTATTCATTATTGTTATTCTTCATTTGTCGTCTATTTAACTTGTGTCTATTTCGATTTCTTGCCTCTTTTCTTAAATTGTGTTCTCGAATTCTTCGCTGTTTACGTTTTAATCGAAGTTTTCTCCTAATTTCGCTATCCGAGTCTGAAGTTGATATACATGATTCGTCGGACGTTAAGATCGTTCGGAATTTCGGCCAATGCTGCGTCTCTTTTGCTACTAAAATGATTTGAGAAAAAAAAATGTATTTATACCATTATTATTTAGGAACTATTTTCATAAGTGCTCACCTTTTATTCCGTGCTTTAAATCCTTCTCTTTGACAGTTTTCACTGAGATTTGTGGAAATCTATCCTTTATTGCTTTATTGATAGAGTCTAATAATATTTGTCGTCGTTTCGTGCCGTGGAGGCGACGAAATGGACTTAAGAAGTTTTCAATCAGAGTGGAGCAAACTAAGTAACCAGATTTCGATACTGAAAACATGAAAAACGAATATTAAACTGAATTGAAAGGTAGTTAATGGTTTCTCTAATGATTATACTTACTTTCAGGAAATGCCTCGAATTCTCTCAGAGAATTGAACAGGTAGTCTCCCTCTTTATCCTCGTACATAAGTTCTGCATAATCTATGATTGAATTCACTTCGACGGAGAGTTCTGTCTTCCTCACACGTAGCATGTGGTACATCATGGCTGCGTAAGCTGGTGGAAGGCGAGGATCCATTAATATCAGATCTTCACAGAAAAGTGGTGTGAAGTACTTGCGTTTTTTCGTCATTTAAGTGAGGTTACTGGAGGCCCAATTACTTCTCTCCCCAATTTTCCCAATCTCCGAATCCCCAATAATTTTTAACCTTTACAATGTCTGTAATGCATTTCTAACATCTTTGGTGTTTGGGTTGTCCATAGGTTGCTTCGAATGCTTACCATCAGGTGGTCCGTCTGCTCATTTGCCGGCCAATTTCGTAAAGAAAATAAAATGGTGATGAAGCTTAGCTGCTATATGTAAACATTCAAGTGTCGACTCGACCGAAGAGGACCGCTTACCATCGGGCTAATTACTTTATTGCTAAGAATGTTTAAAAAATGCTCAAAGATTAAAACCTGGCTGGTAGAAACATTGAGGGGTTAGTGCAAATTTCTTTAACGCTAATGTCCTTTTACGTTTATAACGTCTAGCGCTCTGATTGGCAGTCCCAAGTTAACCAACCAATCAGAGGGCTAAACGCAGTAACGTTTCGATAAAAAAAAAGCTTGCACTAGTCACTATAAGAAGTATTTTAACTTACTTCTTACTAGATCGATTGGTGCTTCGGATATAAGTCTTGATAGTTTTATAGTGACATCTAATAACGGGCTGTCTAACCAGACCAACCGACCATTTCCCTGTAGCCTGCAAAAAATTACCACTGTCAAAGTCTGCAATACTCCCTTTTATTAGTAATCAAACGCATTAATCAAAATTATCAGAATTGCAGACTCTCCAGGCCATCATCAACAGCCTAATAAGTGCCCACTGCTAAGCAAAGCCTCTTCTCACACGGCGAAGGTTTGAGCATTAATTACCACGCTTGCTCAATGCGGGTTGGTGATTACAAACTTATAATTAGAAATTATAAGCCCAGGTTTCCTCACGATGTTTTCCTTTACCATTTGTCAGTGTTGTCTAGATAATTTTAGAAAGTACGGTACGGTACGGCTTACGGTGGCCGGAGAACTCATCCCTTTTTTTGGTTTTTTTTTTGGGGGTGAAAAATCATCCAATGACTTCTCCCGACCCGGAGCCCCGGCAACCCGTTAGGCCTTACGTGGCTCCGTATCAGACATCAACCCTACTGGGCCTCATTTTTGTGGTCTGATTGCTCTTTGACGCGCGCGCAACGCGACGCGTCGTACGCACGGGAACTCAACCTAGCTGGAGAGTGTTCTACACTGTGAAAACCTCAGATCGGGCCTATCAATCTATCAGATAAGTAAGTCAAAAAGGTTATATTTAAAAATTACTCATTGATTATAGTTTCCGTATGTATAATGACATTTTGAACATGTTTCTGATCTTTTGTAGAAATTATTCTACAAAGTTCTATTAAGAAAACGATCATATATCCTTCATCCAGTTCCTTCATCATCTCGTAGTAACGATGATTCGGAGGCTTGGTCGATGGAGTAAGAATTGAAACTGAAAAATATAAAATCATAATATTGAAAACCTCGCAATTTCATGTGAACCTTTTAATTGTAACAAACTTACCTGGTGTTGTACCTTCTAAAGGATCTACAGGTAGATAGACAGGTCTACCATCAATTATTGTCGATTTAAAAGTACTAAATTCATAATATTCAATTGACTCGTTATGGAGATGGCCGTAGAAATTTTTTATAGTAGAGTTACGTTGTTTTGTGGATAGGTACATTGGGTAGTACTTCTTTACTTTTCTGATACGTTTATGTCTTATTTTTTTGTTGTGTGTGTGCCTCTGTCTGTGCAGTCTAGGACGTCGTGTGAGGTTGTATCCGTGGTGTATTATTGGTTTATTGTTTACAAAGTGTTGGTACCATCGTGGTGTTATCTGTTGCGGTGCTAGAAACAATGTTTTGGTTAGTGGATTTGAAGTAGACCAATAATAAGGAAACCTTAATTTTCTTGCAACTGCCTTATTTGGCCGAGTGGTTACAAGTCATTGTCGGGTAAGAGGTCGCGGTTTCGATTCCCGAAAGGGGCAAGGTATTAATGGGTATAAAAGAATTCTCAGTAGTAGCATGGAATCTGAAATTGTCCCCGGTATATGGCAATAGGCTGACCCCCTATTACATAGGACTCATTACATGAATAGTAACAATGTACAGTGGCATTAACGTTTTTTGATACCGCATATCGAGCTTCCCTAAACATCATAATGAACTTTACTCATCCATTACTAGAGTTTGGAATAGATTTTGGCAGGGATAAGTTATGTCGTAAGTGCCGTAATGTGCACCACTGCCTACCCTTTATTTTATTTATTTTATTAGGTTATTGGCAAATATCGGTCGCTCTATATGAGAGACTGACATACAGAGTTCCATACCTAACAATGGTAATAAAACGCTTACTTGTAAAATCACTTGCTTTTATCTTCCATCTATTAGAAGACATGAAATTAGTCATCTCTTGCTGCCACAAGCTATGAAACTTATTTGTTGTTTTGTAAGACCACGACGCAAGAGGAGGAATTTTGGACTGAAGAGGAGAAGATGTAGGATATGAAATAGCAAGTATTGATAAAGGAGCTAAAGAAGCAGATGTTTTAGGTGGAGAAGAGGTTGTAGTGACTTCATAGATGATTCTAGAAATAGGTGTAAATAGATGTAATTTTTGATAAAAGGAAAGTTCCGGTATGAATGTAGCAATATTGTTGAACGTCTTTCGTCCAATACTAGTTGTACTCATAGAGGATGGAGTTGTACTCATAGAGGATGGAGTTGTACTCATAGATGATGAAGTACTTTTTATTGAGGTAAAACTTTCAACCTCTTCTTTTAAATTATATATCTGATTAAATTTTACTACGGCTAGTTTGTTAGAAGTAATATTTGGTGAAGTTACTTTAGTAGGAGCTAATGTCGATGGACGAGTGGACTTAGTTTTTGAAGTAGTCAAAACAGATGATTTAGTTGCAACAGTTTTAGAAGTTGGTTTGCTAGGAGAGATAACTGAACGAAAAGTAAATTGTTCAGGCACTCGATGTGTTGAAAATGTCACTTTTTGAAATATTTTATCAAAGAAATTTCTTGGAATACTAAGAGATGTAAACGTAGAAGCATGGCCGACCTGTTTAGGCTTTATTGTAACAGAACTTGGTTTAGTTGTAGAATTTATTTTAATTGTAGTTTTAGGTGTAGAGACAGATGTGGCAGAAGTACGTAAAACATTTTCAGTTAGTACAGGAATCGGAAACAAAGGTTTGCTGACGTAATTTGGAAATTTATGAAGTTTTAAATTACTTTTAGTCTGAATAGATTTAGTCGTGAATAATCTAGCTCGAAGGTTCGGTATTTTTGGATCTTTCACTACTTTGTCATTTCTCTCTGTTTCTTTCATACTCCTTAACGGTTTTTTATTTTTGTTTAATACTATTTTAAGGTCTCTGAAGAAGGCGTTCACCATCTTCATCCTCTCCTGGTGATTTTCCATAAGTTCTGTCTCGTTGAAGTTATCTGGAAGGAGGTTTTTGCGTTTGAATATTTTCGAAAAATGTTTAGTGCCTCAAAAAGTGTTCAGAGTTGCTGAATTTGAGTGTGGTATTTCTTAGCAATACAGTACAATACGTGTGACTACGGTGCTTCGGAAATTAGAAAGGTAACTGAGAATAAAGTATGTATTTGTCGAAACTTTATTAAATAGGTTAAAAATCGGAATGATATAAAATAGTATGGTACCTGGCTTGTGTAAGTCATCACTATTAACTAGACTATAGTGTAATAATAAAGCTAACAATAATATTAGCCTAGTAGTCTCCATGTTTATGAATCCTTCTTATATCTTGGTTTTGTCATCTGGACTTAGAAACATATTTGAAAATTCGTTTAATTTCCACAAGAAATTTAACACTGTGTATAATCTTTAGGTATTTAAAATAGATTCTTAGTAGTCGATGAAGCTCACAAAAATATTGAGTTTATTTATGTTATCTTTAATGTTAATACAGACACTGTTTGATTCAAAAATCAATGTGAAATTGCACGAGTCATAACTGGTTTCATTTTTTAATGTAAATTATTAGATTTTCATAAAAGAGAACACAAAACAAGAAATTCTTGAAACTTTTAACATTGAGTTTAAAATCAGTAACAATTCCAATGTTTATTGTCAATAAAATAGTTGTAATCATTTTATTGGATTACAAATATAAAAATAGTTGCTCGCGCAATGTATAACAAGTTTTATGGTACAATAAAATGCTAGTACTTTTTATATTAAAATGAAAATGTTCGCTGGTGTTCTGCTGGTCACCATATTCGGTATTTATTTTATTTATAATAAGTTTTACATTACAATCAGTTTCTTACAAATATCATGTGTTTAATACAATTTTATTGTATAGCATTTATTTCTTGATCATTTGCTTCGAAACTCTTAAATCTAAAACTTGAATTTGACATCTGTATAGAGAAGTGATTGTATTAGATCCCCTACACGTCTGCAATTTCACAATAACACATTTTGGTAACGAGAATGAAAGCCGAACCGATAATTATAGATTTTGTTAAGTCAAAATTAAAATTCTTCTAACTTTATCACATTCTTTTAAATAGATATTCCAAGAAAATTACGTTGAATCTTCGATAGAAAACTGATGGAAGCAAATCTTTTACTAAAGTTGGCTATTACACACGTGTACACTGTCACGTCAAGAGAATGTGACAATGCCGCACAGCTTGCATAAATGTGCGCGAGAGATCTGATACAAAAATGTCTTATGATAGTTCACACGTTTGTAACGGTCCAACTATTACGTCCATCAACTATGGTGTTTAAACATGAACGAATAATTTATTCAAACTTTATATAACAATTTTCATATTCCAGCTCATACGAACACACTGCCACAGCAACCTGAGGATCCAGACAAAAATGTCAATCTGGCTTTAGAAACTGTCCTAGAGTTTTCTAATAAATACCAATCAGGCGAAGAAAGACTGCTAAACGTCGTTCAACATTTTATCAACAGACTTAAAGGTGAAATGCATCAAGATAAACGAAGTAAATCTGGAAAACATTCAAGGAGATCTTCAAGCGATAGCAAGAATGAACTAGAAATATTAGGCCTTAAAATCATCGATAGATTAAATTATTTAGAGAATCAGGTAGATGAAATAAAGCAAAACAACGCTCTGAAGGATTGTCCGACGGACGACAAAAACCAAACTGTAAATTGCTTCAGTAGAAGTAGTAGTGGAAGAGATATAAATGGCGACGGATTTGTCAAACTTGTTGAAGTCCAAAAAGGAAGTTTGAGGCAAAAATATAACATTACAGATGACACGAGCGAGATTGTTATTAGGAAATGCGATAAATGTAACGTTTCAAGGATATATAAAAAGATCTTAAAGACAAATGTGAGAGAAACGGATGAAGCTACATCATCGAATCATACGAACACGTTTATGACAACGTCTAATCTGAAATTATATCAGGAGGAAGTGAATCCGCATCATCATCATCACAACAGACCAAGAATGAATACAAGAACTAGAATATATCACACGACTGCGAAATCAAGTGATGAAGTCAAGTTAGACCAAACAATTGTAAGGTTAAATAAAACGAAATTGTCATTGAATAATAGACAAAGATCAGTTGATCTTACAACGATAGCAACAGAGGCTACATCAACAGTAAATTTAACTCTAGCAACGAATGAAGTAATTCGTAATTTTAGCAGAACCTTTCCTCTATCTGCTAGCTACGTCCCGATAGATGGTAGAAAGTTGAATGACAAAAATACAAGTTCTATTGGGGAATTGATAAAAGAATTAAATGATAGGAATTTTGAAAGTAAAACTGCGAAAGACAAAGCAATATCTAATAAAGTTATGGATTTTTTTTCTCTTCCACATAATCCTGTATTTCGTCCGTCCAATGTATGGTGATTTAGTTTCAATAAATAAAAACCATATCTGTTGAATTAATAAAAATTTTTCGACTGTCCCATGACTCAATAAAATTTTGTGGAAAGTAAAGTAAAGTATTTTAATTATTTTTACAGTGAATGTGTTCTCTCCTCGCGTCCCACGTTGGGCGCTAAATTACCGAGTTAGGCTAATAACAGTTCTAAGGACCTTGAAGCTTGAGAAATCTTTTTATTTAATACTAGCTATTTTCGCGCTATTTCATCCGCTCTGCTCGGCTCCTATTCATCGTGGCTTGATGCTAAAGCGTCCCTCGATAAATGTGCTATCCAATACAAACATAATTTTTCAAATCTGGCCAGTAGTTGCTGAGATTAGCGCGTCCAAACAAACAAACTCTCCAGCTTTATATAATAGTATAAGATAATATTTTATAGTCTTAGACTGCTTTGTTGGTTGTTGGAGGTGTAATTGCCGAGCAATGGTCTCAGGATCGCTACCCAGCTCAGTCAGTCAGGTAATTTCACGGTGTTTAGAACTGGACTAGATTTATGACAATAGACGCATCCCCCTATTGCATGGGACTCATAGCATTACCGTTGAAAAGTAGGTGTTACATGGTATGTGTTGTATATACCTCTGAGTGATGTTATGTTATTATTCGTCTTATGGTGTAATTATTGTGGATGAAATTAAATATAAATTTAAAAAATGCTAGATTTGCTATGAATGTGCTTGGTAGAACTGAAACTACCTAATTAACATAGTAAATTATTCAGAATAGGGTATCATATGATTCCACAATTAGTGCATAGATTGGATTCTCTGACTACTGCTATAATTATGTGTTTAGAATTCTCTCTATCATTTTCATAAAGATAAAAATATGCTTAGTAATATTGAACTACGGCAAAAAATGTTAAGCGCACCATCTCTTAGCAGTTTCTGAAACTAAATATCTTCAATTTATCTAGGTAGATGTCGCTACGGTTATTCGACGAAAATCAACTAAAAGTACGTCACTAATTAAATCTGTATTATCGACATCTCCAGCTGTCATGTTGTCGATGTCATCTGTGAAATGTGACATATTAGAGTAGGGTGAGTGGGGGGAAGACGAAAAACGGGGAAACATAAAAAACCTTCCATAACGACAGATTTAGTGCAGTTTTTGCAGTGTTGGTAACATTGTTAAGACCGCCATTTTGTTACGTGTCACCCCTCAGTCAGCGTTTGCCGCTTTAAGTGAGTGGTTGTGTGAAAAATACAAATGTCTGTGCAGTGACTTTTACGCGAGTTAATCGAGTGTTTCAATCTTGCCCCGTGTCTTATAACTTTACTTACAAGGTAGGTACGAGTGTTTTATTGGAATACCAACTCATTATTTTCAATTCTTAATTGTGTTATCAGTCCTAAATATTGCTATCTGTCGTAGTTTTCAATTTATCACAATGTTCCATCTTTACCCACCAATATTTGACGGGGTAAGAAAAACATGTAAAAGTTTTAATCTTGCCCCGTTTCGAAATTTCATACTAATAGTCAGTGGTTCTCAAACTATACCTGGTATTATGTAACTGTTCAAAATAAAATAATGGCGGCTAACCATTTTTAAATTTTCACATAACTAGTTTAAATAAATTATTTTTATAAGTGAAAGATTACAAACATACTTCTATTTCGTCTTTGAAATATTTATTTAATAAAACCGTTGTTTTGTTTCAGCCATAAAAAAAAGATTGCGAAGTAATTAGCTGACAGCGTTCAACTTCAAATATTATCGTTATAAATACTAAGAACTACGTGCTACCGAAGCAATATTGAGTAATTGCATTTTGTCAATTCAGAAACACTATGCCACGTAACTATGTCCGGAAGTCTCTACGTGCAACCTCCTACACTAAAGACGATATTGCCAACGCCATAGAAAAAGTAAAAACAAAGGAATTATCACTATACGGTGCAGCTAAACATTTTAATATACCCATTGCTACTCTTCACAATCGCTTGAATAAAAAAACAGGTATTAAAAGTTATACGCTGGGTCGTCCTCCTGTCTTCCCTTATGAAACAGAAACTAAACTAGCCAATGGTCTAAAAGTTTTAGAAAAATGGGGTTTTGGGCTTTCCAGAAAAGAAGTCATTTTGCTAGTGGAACGTTATGTTAGATTGAATAATATAAATACACCATTTAAGGACAACATTCCAGGACCCGATTGGTTCACAAATTTTCGTAAACGTCACGGACTTTCTCTCAAAAAAGCTCAATCTCTTGAACATTCAAGAAAGAAAAATACTGATCCTTTTATTATAAATGAATACTTCAAGCTTTTAGAATCAACACTAAAGGATTTAAATTTGAATCAACGACCACATTTAATATGGAACCTAGATGAAACATCGGTATGTTTAGACCCTTCCAAAACTAAAATAGTTGGAAAGAAGGGAGCTCCATCCTCTCGAACTACACATGGTACTGGCAAAGAAAATATTACCGTCTTAACGGCTGTTAGTGCGAATGCTAAGAAAATAAGTCCTTTAATTATATTTAAAGGCAAATATGTGTGGGATTCATGGGTAGCTGAAACTGAAAACAAATATGATTTCGAGCTGTCTTATGCTGCCAGTCAAAGAGGGTGGATGGATACCCAAATATTTTATAATTATATAGAAAAGGTGTTTATCCCGGCGCTTGGAAAGGAAAGACCAGTCCTGCTAGTTTATGATGGCCATGGCAGCCATGTTGATCTCAATGTGGTTGAATTAGCTATTCAAAATAATATCACGATATTAAAATTACCGCCTCACACGTCCCATATCCTACAACCCTTGGATGTGGCTGTATTTAAGTCCTTTAAAAGTAGATGGGACGCTAAATTAGTTGAATGGCAAAGGCAAAACACAGGTGTTAAAGTGCCTAAAAAGATATTTTCCGAACTTTTCGCTGAAATTTGGAATGACACCAAAGACGAAATAATAATGAACGGCTTTAAAAAAGCAGGAATATTCCCATTTAACTCTGAGGTGGTTTCAATTGATCGGTACGACCCAAGAGCATACAAACGCTGGGAAGAAGCACAAAA